AGCATTATCATCATGTATGCAACAAATTTTGTTAGGTTTAATGGTTGTGATGTTAGGTGACATTAAACGTTTTGGATACTTGATTTGCTTGTAAAATTCTCCCTTGAATCTTTTTTTTTTAACGTATAGATCTCATTGTACACAAATAATGATGTCAAAATCGAAGAGAATATGTTTACTTAATGGTCTTGTTCTTGCATTTATTTTTCATCCAAGGTGTTGAAGTTTTGTATTGGTGTTTTAATTATCTTTTGGGGGGTTTAAGGTATTTCTCATATTTTTTGTTTGATTGTGTAACCCTTGTATCTACTTTCCACATGGGGAAAAAGAAATCATCTGAGATGATTGTTTTTTGGTGTCACCATGAATGCAGGCGTGGTGTAGCCACGCCCATCATATCGGCCTCATGCTATGAAATGCAAATACAGGTCTAAGGCTATGCGGTGTACTCACAACACCTTAACACAAAAAAATTTCTGTCACATCAGCATCATTTACCTTAAGAAACATCAATCATCCAAAATCACTCTTAAAACTTCATATATAAAATTAATTTAGAGAGAGAGAGAGATGTGGGTTATGCATGGTTACTCCATTCACAACCCATAACTCCACCTCATCATAACATATATTAACATGGGGTATTCACATGTTATAACATGTCACCTCATCATAATGTATGTATAGATCATCTCCAATGCATTAAATTCATATGATTTCAATAGATTGACACATACATTCCATTCACCATACAATTTTATCTATTAAATTCTACCCTTTATTAAACTTCATACAATTATATATATGCGTGTGTAAGAGAGGAGAGAGTGTGTAAATTTCAATGGGGATTGAACTCCTTATTCTATTGAGTGTGTAAGAGAGGAGAGAGAGTGTAAATTTCAATAGAGATTGAACTCCTTATTCTATTGAGTGTCATGTCATTAACTCATAATGAGGATTTTAAGTTTAATGAGATTCAACTCTCCATTAAACCATCAGTGGAGATGGCCTAAGAGGTAATCATTAACCTCAAATGGCAAAAGCAAGATAATCACTCTCTGCTTGCCTATAGGCTAGACATTAGTTTGAGTTAAAAATGCAACATTTTAGTTATAAACACTATTTAAAAGGAAAAATGACAAATATAGCCATTTGTCTACCTTTTTTTCCAAAATATTTAGCATTTCTAAAAATGACCACAAAGTTCGCAAAAGGCCTTTTGCGGACTCAACATGCCATCTATGGATTTAACATATATTTAAATGGTCAAATTTCAAATTTTCGTTATCCTGTTTGTAAAAGAAGAACGCGCTCGCGGAAGCTTCTTTGCGAACTCACTTTTGGAAGATCGAATTTGTAAAATCAATCCTAAAGAACGAGTCCAGATCTTAAGAACGAGTCCACAAAGATCTTAGCTGACTTTAGTATCTGCACTCATGGAGAATTACCAAAATATTCTTATATTCGAAGTAATGTCGAGTCCACAAAGGCCCCTCTATAGACTCGATGATTATTTGTGAAAAAATATTTTTCTTTTGGAAAGTTAACGAATACGGTGAGATACGATTTAGAATCTCTTATAGTTAGGCAAGTGGAGGACAGTGATCTTCCAAATGATCACTGGCCGAAACGATCCATGATAGCTATTAACTAATGTCATGGAGTAAGTCAGTCTAAACTCTATAGTTCAACAATCTAGTGCAGCTAATGTACGAAGGAAGCAAGAAGTCAGCTAAAAAGTATGAGAATCTCCGATGTTCGATCAACAACAACAGGGAGGGATGCCCCCGAGGGCATCCCGATCGATTCAATCAACAAAGCAAGTGTTGTGAGCCCACCAGCGAGTGAGGGCTAAACGGTATTTATAGATTGAAACTAGAAAACCTTAATTCATGAACTAGCCTCATGAACAAACCAGTCTCAACTTTCCGGGATTAAAAAAAATGGTTAGATTTGTTAGATTCTATTTAAGATGGTTAAAATATTTAATAAAATTATTAGACCATTTTGCACACTTGTAATTTGCAAAACAATGGACTATTTTTTTTATAATATCTAATTATTACTTTATTTTATTATTATATAAGCATGTTTTTTTATTTTGCTAACTTCTTCATCATAAATATATTTTTATATTTAACTAACTTCAAATTTATTATTTTAACAAATTAAATAGAAAAAAAATAGTTGAATTATATAAATTTAACTAACTTCTACATTATAAATATATATATTTATATATAAATCAACTTACTTATTATATTGTACATTAAATGATTAAAAACATATAAAATAGTTGTTGATCTATCAACAAGGTCCATTTATGAAGAATTTTTTTTTGCAATGGTAGCATTAATATCTTGTAATCCAAAACTCGGCTAGAAGACAAAACAAAATCAAAAGCAAACCCCATTTCCATTTCTTCTAGTTAAAGTTCATCATATTTACACAAGCACAACAACAAAGTCCTTCCCTCAACCTCAACCGCACACCATTATTTCCAAATAAAACCAAACAACCAAAAAGCTCACAACCCAACCCATCACTTATCACTTATTACTTATTACTACTACTTACTACTTACTACTAAAGCTTTTTTTCCTCCCAAACAATCTCCTCAAAATCCCACCACCACCACTACTTTTCTTCTTATTTGTCACAATTGACAAAAAGTTCACCAAAGCTTCTTCATCCTTCTCATCTTTCACTCCATCAACACTCACAAACATCCTCGGAGACATCACACTCACATTCACAGTGTTATTGTTCAAACTCAAATTACTATCCAACCCTTTGCTCTTTTGACTCCTCAAAGCTCCCGTTGCATCCTCCGTAATCATTTTATCAAGCAGAGAGATCCGCTGGTTACTGTTTCGTTTCGGCGAAGGCAAGGGCGAAACCGTAATTTCACACGTCTCTTCTTCAGGTGAAGCACTTAATGCCTTTAACTGCTTCCCAAGGTTTAGTATCGTTTCTTGACATTCAGCCAATTTCTCAGAAGCTTCCATTATTTCCTTCTCCTGCATTATTCGAGTGTGTCATTATTAGATAATTCAACCATATCATAAATAATAAATAAATAGCGACTCACACTTGGATGGGCTTTTTCGTCCTTTTCCTTTTCCAAATCACGTTTTTCTATGTCATTTCCTGTTATCCTGCAATAATACCAATAGGAGGAATTAGACTTAGAACAAAAATCAAGAATTTTTCTTTTAAATTTTAAATAAAAAAAATAAAAGTTACCTTTCTTCATTTGGAACTGTATTACTTTCTTTTAATTTATCAACACCACTCACCATTACATTCCAAGAAGCCGCCATTGGCCACCCTGGCAGCTGGTCTTTCGGAAAGTCAAACTTATCCGTTTGACCGGTTGTGGGCCCACTTTCCACCTCACTCTCAAAATGCTTCTTGATTTCATCTTTCATACTCGAAACATCTTGAAGTGAAAAACAATGGTTGACTATCCAGTCAAGGGAAAAAGTCAACTCTTTACAAAACTCCTCCATTCCCACTTTCCCATTTAACAACTCGTTACAATTTTTTAAAAATCCCTCCAAAACATCGCGAATCTCGGATAGTTTCCATTGAAATATATGAACAGTGTATGATGATGATGATGCTGATGATAAAATATCATCTTTTTTACACAATTTAACACCTTCAATAATCTCAATAAGTCTCTGTATCGATTTATTCACACCAGAATTGTTAAATTCTAGGGTTTCATTTTTTTTCATATCTTCAAGTGCCAATTTTTCCATCTCGACAAAATCATCCATTAAACCGATATCAGAAGCATTAACGGTGTTACAAGATGGGGCCCACGATCCAACCATGCTGACTTTTTCATCACTACCCATGTCAGATGACGTGGCAGGTATGACCGTTTGACTTTTTGACTTTTGGTTGAGAAACTCCTTAAGGAGTCTGTTCTCTTCTTCAAACGAACACAACTGTTCGGTCAAGAAGGTGATTTTTGATGCAATAGGAAAAGGGTTTGACTTTCTTCTTGTAAGGTCAACTTCGTTCTGCATCTTTGCCACGTCAGCAGGGCCAGGTAAGCGTTTTTGGAGAAGTGAGCGGAGTCTTTGTGCTTCTGTTTCCAGCTGTGCGATCTTTTTGACACTTCCTAGGTATTGCTTATGTGCCACGTCAGATGTTCTTCGGTTAAATTCTCTCTCTTCATTTCTGATCTCAAGTTCTTTTTCTAAAACTCGGACTTCATAACTTAAAGAAGCATTTTCTCTCTGAGTTGACTCCAGTTGACCAACAACAGCACTTAAATCATAATCTAATTGAGCTCTAACAGAGTGTAGTTCATTAATAAGCTTTTCCTTTGATGAAAGAGAGTAAATTAATTGACTGTTTTCCAATTCTAGTTTGGAAACTTTTTTATTTAATTCAGCTATCTTTTTTTCATGTTCATTTGATGTTTTCATTAAATCATCATGTATCTTTTTTTCCTGTTCTTCACGAACAAAAACGAAGCTGAAGCATACACTCATTTAATGCTTCTCTTTGTTGTGTAGCTTTCTCTAGTTCTTGTTTTTAGTGCTAAAACTTCTGATTCAGCTTTCTCCCATCCTGTATAGTTTAATTAGTTATAATTAAACTCATGGAAATAAGATTATAAATAAAGTAGAATTTACAAAGTACAAGTCACCACCTTTAACAGCTGAAAGATTTTCATCTTGAAGCTTCAAATTTGTCTGTGGTTCCACTGTATTAGTTAAATTTGCCTGAAATTAAACATGGTTAATAGGAAAAGTATAAATAGAATATTAGAATATGAACATGTAAAAGCAAAAATACTTTTTGAAGGGCATGGGGTAAAAAGAGAAAAGTATGCTTTTATTTTATGTTACCTCATCTTCACTCCCTACGTTTACTCTGTCAACTGGAATCATTGTTTTCTCTGTAGATGTTTTCTTCCAAGGCCATGACTTGTGGTCCATCACTTGAGAAATCCCTTTGGTCAAAAGTTCATAAGTAACTTAAATCACATACAATCTGCAACAATCAAGAAAAAGATGACATAAATGAACTTATAATCAAGATTCTAACATGACATGTACACATGATAAATAAAGGAAATGAAGGGTGAGGGAAAAAAGTTTCTAAATAAACAGGTGAACCCAGATTCAGATAGCAATGTCTTATCTAATTGCCTTCTTTGGTAACTTTCCGTTAGTGTAATAAAAACCCCACATGAACAACAGACTACTTGGTAATTGGTATCTTCCATGATTATCTGATCTTGGATGCCCTTTAATTCAAACAAATGCGTTCTGAAATTTCATTCAATGAAATAACCTAATTTCCTCTATTAAAAACATCTGGAGAATAGGATTACAGAACCACTGATTTAATTAACCCAATTTTAGGGACCTAATTTGGTATTAACGAAAGCGAACAAGTAGGGGATAGGGGTTTCCCTTTTGTAAATCGACATTTGAAGTTAAATCGATCAATAATGGTGAAGATTCTGAGATTTGAAGAGTTTTTTCAGAGCATAGCATAATATAACATCCAAAAATTAACATACCTCATTGTGCATGCATCTCGGAACGCTTTTAAAGCTAAATCATTTGAGATTGAAGCAGATGAGGTGAAATCAGTACATATCACTAGCAGGAGGAGCTTCGATTCTATTGCACAGGCCATTGAAACAAGGCAACAAGCAAAAATTAGGTTTCAATTTACACTCAAAACCTTCAACAGTATATTCACAAACAGATATGAGTACATGACTACAAACAAAACAATATATAGTGATAATAATCAAACAAAAGCGACAAAACGCTATGGAACAATTCATGTTCATACCAAACAGAGAAAAACAAAACACAACGGCGACTTAAATCAATTTTTTAAATAAAAAATTAGATTAAAGCCATTAATGAACTACTGAAACAAAATAGAACTATAATAATAGCTGAAAAATACAGTAACAAGTACATACCTGAAAAAAGTAAAGTAGAAGCATTCTTGTCGTCGTCTTGCAAAAAAACGAAGCTGAAGCTCAAATCTGAAGTATTTTGTAAGAAGAAACAAGTTAAAGAGCAAGTAAAGTGAGCTGATGGTTAAGTAAAATGAAGGAGTTCCGATCTTACTGATGAAGCAGCGTCGAAAGGAGCAAAAACTTTGCAGAAAAATGAAAGCAGATGGCAGAAATGGAGGAAGAAAGGCAACACCTGATTTTCAAGAAAGGAAATGGAGGATTACATGTACGGATATAATATTTATGAAAATGAGACAATTATTTAAAGTAGGTTCGCTATTTTTCATACATTTAATTAAATTGTTATCCTATCCGGTTACAATATCATACAATTATAATTATTTATTGTTGCATAGATTCAAACTCATTGACTAAAATTGACCAGATGTTGAATGTCACGATTAAAATAAAAAGAAGTCGTCGTAAATATTTGGATACCATTTGTTGATATATGACAATTTTGCATAATTATATATGCCTAGTAACATTATTTCAATATAATAACTAACATTTTTATTAACCGGCAGGTGCATTAAAACAAACTAACAATATGCTAGAGCAAAATACAAGGTACAAACAAAAAATCATATAGTACAAACATAAAAAGGGAACTTACACCAATCAAACCAATTTAGACTACTTATAGCAAGATCCGTGTTTAATTCAATTGAAGGCACTCAATTGGATGTCATCCGCCAATTTCATAGGAGGATATCTCTTCTTTTTAAACTCCAAATCGTTTTTGGCTCTCGAAATCCACCAAATCAAAGAATATACCAAGGCTAATTTCATATTTCTCTAGTTCTTCCTTTGTGTAGACATTTGCAAGTCGTTTTGTAACTCCTCTATATCAGAGGGGGGGATTCAATGTAAAGCAGTTCCATGAAGAAAACCAGTGACAAACCTATTTTCCAAAAGAGCATCGAAAAAATATATCCTCGATCTCTTCCTCATCAATGTTGCAAAAATGGCAAACAGTGGTAGGTAAAACAATGCCTCGAACCATGAGATTTTTAGCAACAAGGATTCTATTAAGTAACATCCTCCAAACAAAACAATTTAGTTTAATAGGTATCCAACTAATCCATTTGAAATCTCAAGCGGCAACCTCCGAATTACGTTTATCAGCTATCAACTTTCTCATAGAATATACCGAGAACAACCCCGAACTATCAAAACTCCAACTCCATTTGTCCGGGACTGAAGACAACTTTACATCCGCCAAGACATAATTCAAAACAGCAAGTTTGTTAGCCTTTTTACCTCTCCTCGGCAATCTTTTCCACACCCCGTGAAAAACAGACAATTCTTCACCTGAAACACGCTCACAAACTTTACACTTCTTTTCCACCTCAAGTTTGTATAAATCTAGGAAAATATCTTTAAAAGCTACTGATTCACACCATTAATCTTTCCAGAAATAAGTAAAATTTCTGGCCCCCAATTTCCTATCAAAGAGATCTTCAAGAGAGATGTTTCATTCCATGAAATTCCATTTTATTTGAAAAATGCTATGTCACGTCCGTGGAATACCGCACCTAGCAAATGGCTTTCCATCGATACAAGTAATATTATGAAAAGCTTTTATACAAGAACACCATAGAGTATTACTTTCAACCTTCAATCCCCACGACCATTTGACAAGAATAGCAAGATTTAAAGTTCTAAGATATCCAACCCCAAGACCACCTTTATCCTTAGGCCGAGTAACCACATCCCAGGCAACCCAATTAATCTTCTTTTTATTATCAATACCACCCCAAAGAAAATTTATCCTAATGCTCTCCAAAAGGTCAATGACTTTCTTGAGAGCTTTAAAAAGAGAAAAGTAATAGAGAGGGAGACTACCTAAGACAAAATTAACAAGGGTAAGACGCACCCCAAAACGAGAGATTTATCGCTTTCCAAGTAGATAATTTAACTTTAAATTTCTCTACGGGTTCCAATTTCTAGAAAGCTTCATATTGGCACCAATAGGAAGGCCAAGGTATGAAAATGGAAAACTAGCGGGCTCACAACTCGAGATGTTAGCAAACCGGGCAACATCGACACTATCAACCCCAACACCAAAGATCAACACTATCCACCCCAACACCAAAACATTGCTTTTCACAAGATTTACTTTAAGTCCATAAGCTATATAAAAACCTCTAAGAATTTTGTTAAGATTAATGAAGTTGACCTCGGACCATTCCCCCACAAAAGTAACAGCATCCGCATACGTAAGATGAGATAAAAGCGGACCATTATAAGATAATGAAATACCTTGAAAGATGTGTCAATCACAAGCTTCTTTCAAAGAGACACCTAACCCCTCCATAGAAATTATAAAGAGAAAATGAGCTAGCGGATCGCCTTGCTTAACACCCCCCCCCTCCCGCGCACACTTTATATCAAACTCTCAGGTCAGTGAGCCATTCACCAAAATGGAAGCTCTACTCGAAGATAGACATCCCTTTATCCACTTTCTCCATTTGTCACTAAACTCCATTTGCTCCATAATCGAATCAATATAGCTCTAATTCAAAAAATCAAACACCTTCTAAAAATCAACTTTAAAGATAAGCACCTTCTCCTTAATCTTTTTGGACCAAGAAAGAATTTCATTTAAAACTAGCAGACCCTCAAGAATGCTTATCCCCTCAACATAAGTCGATTGTTCTTGGCTAATCATCTTACCAATCACCTTCTTTAGTCTTAAGGTAAGAGTCTTGGAAAGAATTTTATACATACAACTGATAAGATTAATCAGGCGATAGTCCTTTAATGAAAAAGGGTCATAACTTTTAGGAATGAGCGATATGAAAGAGGCGTTGCAGCCATTGCTAATCTTTATGGATGCTTCAAATTCCTTCATGTAATTGAAAATCTCAACTTTGAACATATACCAATACTTCTTCAAGAACTTGAAAGTGAAACCATCGGTCCCCGTGGCTTTATCGTTGCTACATTTCCAAATAGCCATCTTAATTTCTTCCATAGTAAAGGGACCTTCTAAATCAACCCTATCTTCACACGGAATCTGTAACGCCCCAAAAATCATGACATAATTTTTTTTATTAATAAATCGCTAATAGATTTCTTTCCCATGAAACCAAGGTAAGCAAGAGTTAGCAAAAACATCAACAAATCAGAGTAATTCACAGAATGCAGAAACATGTGGTGTGTGTCCTGCAATCGTCCCGAGCTCTTTCATTTGAAAACTGGAGTACCTGAAACATAAGCTGAAAACCGTAAGCACAAAGCTTAGTGAGTTCTCCAAAATACCATATAACATACAACCACAGAATATCATGCAACATACATGTAATTGCCATGGGCTCCCCCGCATGGTCTTTATTCGGAACGTCATGGGCTCCCCCATGGTCTTTGCCTGGAATGCCATGGGCACCCCCATGGTCTGATATCCGATGCCTCGGGCACCCCCCCCCCCCCCCCGAGGTCTTCTATGCAAGTACCACAGAGGCAACTAGCATACCACATATCAACGAACAACTATCATACCACATAACACATAATGGACCGGCATTAGTGCCTTCGACCCATGGATATAGTGAGGAAACTCACCTCGCACTACAGAAGCTCACTTAAAGAATCCCTAGTTGCTGCCCTGACGGCTTCCCAAACTAGCAATATCAATAATACACTCAATTAACAATTGGGCTCCAATCCATAACCACAACTCCATACATGGGGTAAAAGGACCATTTTACCCCCAACCTATCCTTGTCCAAGCTCATGACCCAAACTACAATCGGAAAGGCCCAAATGCCCACTAATCAACCAATGGCCCAATTTTCCAAATTGGGCCAAACTCCTTACATGGCCCTGCCTTAAGGCCCAACCATTCTTTCTAGTCCAAACACTTTGTATCCCGATGGCCCATTAACAACTCAAGCCCAAAATACCATAAACTACTAGATCCATCAAAGCCCACTAATGCCCAAATTTTCCAAATTGGGCCCAACCCCATACGAGCCTTATACTAAGCCCATAATTCCCTTAATTATAAGTCAAAAGTCAAAGTCAACGGTCCGAGTTGACCCCAACTCGCCGAGTTGTCCTTCAACTCGTCGAGTTTCTCCATTAAATGCACAGATCGGGAAAACTCGCATCAACTCACCGAGTTCTCCTAATGAACTCGCCGAGTTGGCCAGGAATCAAACAACTTAATGCATTAAGCCATTTCCATCGAATCTAGAAGCTTCCATTCTCAGATCTCTTCCCAAATGATGACTAGAAGGGTAAAGTTTACAACTTTACCCTTAAAAACCACTACAATGAACCCAAACCCGAATTCTTGACTTAATAGAGTGAGGCTTAACCCATTAAGCCCTTAAACTCTCAAAACATAGACCCAAAACACAGATCTAGCATCCCAATGTTGGATTATCACATAAAGTTTCCAACTTTACGTCCATGCATGCAAGAAAGGAATCCTAGAGCCCAAAATGGCTTAATAAAGGACTTAATGCATGGATGGGACTTAGGACTTAGCAAAGCTTGCAACTTTATGTCAAGAGAGGTCATAAAAGGGTCAAATCTAACATAACAACCCCTAAAACCCTTAATCTTTGGACAACCCAACCATACACCCAAAAATCAAGCTAAAACATCCCACAAAGAGATGTAGAAGATAACAACACAAGTTTTCAACTTTATACCTCAAAAGGACTGCAACAAATGGAGAGTTTCTGGATCCAAACCCTTCCTTCCAAACTAAGCACCTTCATTCTTCAAACTCCTTCCAAAGAACACCAAAAACCAACTCTCCAAGCTCACCACAAGCTCACACACTCAACCTTGAAGGATAATACACATAATTAGGGTTTTCTGGACAAGGAGGCTGGTAAGGAGGCCAGCTAAGGGAGTTAAGGTCTTTAAATAGGATGCAAAGCCCTAAAATTATGGTTTTCTCGAACAGCGTCAAACTCGTCGAGTTCCCTACACCAACTCGACGAGTTGGTCCTTAAAAACACGCACCCCAAAAGCTTCCAACATGTCGAGTTTATGCCATAAACTCGACGAGTTGGCCCCTAAAAAGGGAATTGATTTCCACCATTAACCTTCTAGATTCCGGATGTTACATAATCTTTTTAAACTTATTATTCACTATGTAACATTCCGATCAATTTTAACCCTAAGTATGAAGATTGATTGCATTTTAGCCCTTGTGTATGAGAAATGTTGCAAAATGGCCCATAGTGGCATTTTTGAAATTTTGGCTCGAGTTCACGTACGCTGGGCGTACATAGCGTATGCGGGGCGTACGTGCATGATCCTCAAACCCTAATTTTTAGGGTTTAGACCCTTTATATACATCATTATCTCCCCAATGCTCATTCCCTCGTCAGCCTCCAACCCACTTTTACCTCTAAAGCAAACCCTAATCCATCTAGAGCCTTTTTGGGCTTTGTGTGTGTGTTTTGGTAGCCTTAAAAGAAAAAGGAAGAAGAGAAGAATGCCTTGGAGGAGAGGGGCTATTTAGATCCAGAATAACATCATCTTTTGGCATCATTTGGAGGTATAAAGTCTTGAACATGGCTTGCATTTCTTTAGATCTTGTTAGTATTGATTCATGGAGAATTTTGGTCCCAAGTCTTGACCTTTATGAGTATGTCATGCTCTAGCCCATATAAGTTGTCCTTTCAAACGTTTTGAGATGCTAGAAGCATAAAAATGTGATCTTGGCTCTTAGTTCTTCCCCATGCATTTGCTAGGATGTCCTAATGGATTAAGAAGCTAGGGTTTGTTGGTATTAAGCACTTCTAGCCATGCAAAGTCATAAAGTTGGAAACTTTATGACTTATAATGTTATTTTGGGCATAGATATGGTTCTGGACGAAAAGACTTAATGTATTAAGCTCTTTTGAGAAGGGTTGTTGACCAGGTGCGTACACTAGGCGTACCAAATGGTACGTTGCGCATACACAGTGTTTCTCCTGACTCCTCGGTCAAGCGGGGTATTCCCCACGTACATCTGAGTACGCCCCGCATACGAGGCTGGGTCGACTCGGCTGGGTTAACTCGACTGGTTTGTTGAGTTTGACCAATTTTAACCAAAGGGTATTTTGGGTGAATTGATATTAATTTTAGGTTAGGCAATATTTTGATTAATAGGTGTTGGGTAGACCCGGTATTCGG